CGACAAGGACGTATCGTCTAAATGTAACGTGGTTGATGTAGTCAAAGCGCACCTACGACTGCAAGTGATGTCTGTCTGATCCGGGGAGATGGGACGACCCGGCTGCGTTCAGCAAACCAACTTCGCGCCAAGACCTGGCGATGCTACTACGAAGCTTGTCTTTCTTCGCATCCCACCTCCATTGGCAATCAATCACCAATTGGTCCAGAAGTCGTCTTGAATCTGCTATTGTTTGGTACAATGTGCTTTCATTCGCTTTGTGAGGTTCAGCTGCATGCTCAAGTGATCATCCCTGTGGTAAGATGAAGCGCTCCTAGCTTTCGTGTCTTTCGCCTCAGGTAATTGTGGAGGCGACCAAATGTATGTCACCACGAAGGTTGATCTGATAACTCACCCATGCTTGTTTACTGCGCCAGACTGACGCGGCGAGTGGGTAGCTACGCCCTCTCAACTGCCGTGCATGATAGGCAGGGTATCTACTGGATACATTTCCCCCCAAGCTAAGTATGCGTCTACGTCTCCAGGAGTGAGCTTGTGGGAGCCTCCCTGTGGGATCAATCCCACGATGTGACTGCCGCCGCGCCGCTCAACCCGAGACAACGTAATCGCCTTCGCCAGAGTTCACAGCACGGTGCCACGGTCAAGGGTTGCGCACCGCTCATTCAAAAGAAAGGGAGGCCGTTACGAATATCTGTGGGGAGCTCAGTTCTATTCTGGTTCTTAGTCAGGGGCAGCTTTAAGCATCAATGGAACATCCCACATGGCTGTTGTGGTGGTCACTCCGCAAAATAGGAGAAACAGGACGGGAAGTGGGTAAAATTTACGGTTCGTCCGAACGAAGCAAGGGTGACGCGGTTTGCCAAGTGAGGCGCATTGGCCGATTGCGCAGTGCACACTCACATCCCCATGTCTAACATCGCGGCTCTGCTTGGGAAAATGGAGAAAAGAGTTCGTGATATTTATGAATGGAAGAAAAAGGTTATAAATCCAGGTGGCTGCCGAGATGATAGACATTTTTTTTTCTCATCATCACTCAGCATCTCAGCCTAAATCCGAGGATCGCACTCCAGTCTTTACTTTTCGATTCCTTCACTCTTTGAACAACAGCCATAATGACTGTCACTCTTCGCTCGCTCGTCTCGCTCCTCGCGACCACAGGCTTGGCAGCCGCCGCTTCCTGGAATACCACTTGCACGAGCAAGTCTCAGAGAAAAGCATGGTAAGAACTTTATAACGTCCTTGAATTCAACCAAGGAATCTGAAGCTAAAGTCAAAAACAGGAACAACATGACCGATACTGAGAAGAAGGCTTACATCGATGCCGAGCTCTGCCTCCAGTCTACTGCAGCTAAGACCTCCATTGAAGGCGCCATCAACCGCTGGGATGAGCTTGACTGGGCACACATCACTCAATCCAACATCATTCACAACACTGTATGCACAATGAAGTTCAATGTAGCAGGAGAAAGCTTGGCTAATACTTAATCTTTAGGGATCTTTCCTCCCTTGGCACCGCTACTTCATGCGTGTCCACGAGTATCTTCTCCAGTCCGAGTGCGGCTACGAAGGTGGCCAGCCGTACTGGAACGAGGTCTTAGACATGGACTCACTCAACAGCTCCGTTGTGTTTGATCCCGACACCGGCTTCGGTGGTGACAGCGACGGTGGATGTGTTACTGACGGCCCCTTCGTCAACCTGACTCTCCACATCAACTCCACCTCCAACTATGCTGAAGATTGCTTAACCCGCTCATTCAACTCAAACGGCTTTCAGACAGGACAGCAGCAGTACATTGATGAGTGCTTTGCTTCTGAAAACTACACAGCGGCTTTCGAATGCTACCAAGTCAACCCTCACACCGCGGGCCACTCTGCAGTTGGTGGAACCGTTAGTCATTCCGCTCCCCGCCGATGTAAGTGTGATCAAAGCTGACACGATCTCTTCAGATGCTTGATGTCGTTGGCAGCCCCGGAGAGCCGCTCTTCTTCCTGCACCACACCAACCTGGACCGTCTTTGGTGGGAGTGGCAGCAGGTCAACAGCTCCCGCTTGACGGACATGGGAGGTCGCAACATCCCTCTCACCAGCTACCTTACCCAAAACGGCATGGAGTACCCCAGCGCGGCTCTGACGGACTACTTTGGCGACGGTGGCAACGAAACGACTCTGAACCACAACCTGTGGATGGTCGATATTATGCCCAATGCAACTATCAGAGAGGTTATGGATATTGGAGGTGACCTCATCTGCGCCGAGTACGTTTAAACTTGTAGAAGGTATTACTTGCCCATGATTGGAATGGATGGCCATGGAAAGGACTGCATAAAATTTTCATCTGTACAAAATAGAGCATAGCAACATAAGCGATTTCATCTTTCATCCAACACCAGTCAAAATGGAACCCATGACGTCTCTAGCCATTATCATTATCATTAAAGTCGTAAGGAGCGTATAAGCGAATACACCAAATTTGGCGACCATATATCTCCCAAGTACCGAAATCCGTCACAGCTTGATCGCCCAAACTTAACCTCAGATGGGAACTCAGATATCATCGTACTTGGATAGCCTCAGTAGCCCACCGTCGCCGTCATCCAGTTGCACTCTCACAGACTTAGCCTCTTTTTGCTGCTCTTTCAAGCCACCAAGGTCCTCTAGTCTTTCCCTCGCATTTCCATCTAGACCGTGAACCAAGGTTGCGAGTACACTGCTCTTCCATAGACTAGCCTTTTGGCGGTACGTCTGGTAGATCGCGGCGATCAAGAAAAGAGTAGTCAACAAGACAGTGAGGAGCGGAACCGCCAGAAAACTCCACTCAACATGAACATAGCTCTCGACAGTGTGCGCTATGCCAATGACATCGGTGCCATTAAAACTCCTGAAACTGACGGTGACGCTGGTTGCAAGATCGTTCATGAGCATATCGATCCCGGTTGGGTACTCGTAGTAGTTCCAGTAAAAGGCCTGGACAATGTCGGTGTCAAAGAATGTCTCGCCGCTGGAAATACCGACGGTGAGATTGACAATAACATTGTCTGGAGTCGTAATGGTCTTGTTGATGACCTCTTCATTGCGCGAGGCCGACCCATTCCGGAACAGGTCCGAGAACCACGAACGTACGCCCATCATGACTTTCATGTCGATTGGATAGGACTCATTGTCACTCTGGCCTGAGATGTAAATGGGCTCAAGGGTGTCTTGAGTTGCCGTGGCGACGGAATCGTTGGTGCTGGTATGGATGATGGTCTCTTTCAGCTCGCCGTTGACGATTTCGGAGTCCAGCGTTTGTACACAGGCTTGAAGGGTGCACTGGCGAGCCCAGGGTGCAAGGGCACCAGCGACACCCCCTTGTTTTTCAGTGCCCATAAATACAAGCTTCATGATGGTCGAGTAAGACATATCTCCGAGGCCTTGAGGGAAGATTGGTGTCATGCTGAACACGTCGGCATGTGTCTTAAGGCGAGCTCCTACTGGGACTGACCAGCCACACTCTGTCATGTCGCCTTCAGGGATCGATCCGTCCTCACATGCTCGCGTCATGAACTCAGACATGTCAACGCAGGTGTTGCAGACACCGAGAGTCTCGAAAGGCTCCCAAGTACAATTGCCCGTCTGGCAGTTGACAGGGAGGCTCAGCCACGGCTTACCGTTCTCAGCAAAGAGACCATTGTACACGGCAGCCTTGAAAGGAAGAATCGGAATGAAGCCTTCAGAAGCGGTCTGACTGCTCAGAGCGATCAAGTATTCCTCGGCTCGGAGGTTGATGGCCCCTTCTGTAGAGTTGGTCGTGCGTGCGTGGAACGTGGCAATTTGTTGGGCAAAGGGGCTGAATGCTAGGGTCAAGATGGCAACGAACGCGCCAAAAGAACCAAGAAGACTATACAGGATTTCAGGTCAGCTGAATGTGGTTACGTGGGTCGAAGCCATTGACAATCATATCCTACTTACCCTCCTCTAAGCTTAATGAGCATCATGAGAGCTCCCCAGGTTCCTCGACTGGCATCATCGAACACCTCCATATCCGACAATGGCTCGCGGCGCGTCTTGAAATGAATCCATTTCAGTTGAGAGATGCCACTAGAAAGGACGAGAGCCATAGTCGCAGTTGCAATGGTAGCCAACAAGGCAATAACGGCGTTAATAGTGATCTGAAAGTGCCACGACACTAGTGGCTTCCCGTCGTATGCTGCGAGAACACCAATGATGGCGGCTGAGGCAAGGATGGTCACACAAAGACTGACGATCTCAAAAGTCCAAGAGCCAGATGGCGAGAACGTTTCGGACTTGATGTGTGATTTCTCGGAGATTCTGCTCCAGCGTGAGGGAACAGAGCGTCTAGATTCTCCATTGCTGCTCAAAGCAGGCTCGCTGGGAGAGACGTCATCAACAGAAACAAACGTTGACTGGTACGCCTTGTATGATCCCAGACTTTGTCTCTTGTCAGATCCAGGGATGAAGGGGCTTGTCGGTTGCTCGACATAAATCGTGTCAGCCGAGCTTGTGCTCACATTGTGCGAGTGTTGTCTGTGCGACATGTTTGCTGTTTGCCGGGTCCCGATCGAGGTCGCAGCTGTCAGAAAGGCTCAGTGCATGAAGATAAAGGAATATGGGCACAAAAGCAAACATACGGAAAGTTGCATGGTGGCTTGGGACCGGGGAGCCTCAAGTACTTGGAAACATGCCGGGAAAGCTTGACAGATTTGTGAAGCCTGGGCATTGTAGCGTGACTGCTACATGAGTTGGAAGCCTGCAGTGCTTACATGCACATGTGTGGTCCAACTGCGATGCCGCTTATCACATAGAATACATGGGAACTTTGGGAAGAGTGGGACGAATGCCGTTGTATTTTTCAAGGTTTTTGAATGCTAACGTGAGCCAAGATGCTTCATTATTGGCTGACATTGATGGTGGAGGATGCGAGAGACCGAACAAGGAAGCGATCTGGGCCTTTGGGGGCTGAACCAACCCGTTCAACCCTTGCATGGAGATGTTGGTGGTTGGGGGGATGTCTCTCTCGAGGAGCGGTATCTTTTCACTCAAGTTCCTCGCCCGCATCAAGCCTGACCACCCGAAGCCTCCTCGGAGGGCTAGATCCGTCTCGGACTGCGCCTTTTGCAGATCTATGGCTTATTTTTGGTTGCTGTGCTGTACCGCGAGGGGTAGCAACGTGGATGGGAACTAGGACTGTGCCGCCTGCACGATGGGACCAGTCCAAGGCAGACGTGAACGGCACAGCAAACTTTGATAAGATACTGTTGGTGCAGCCTGCATGCGCTGTCGCTGCTCAGCCCCCCATCCTCGCAGAGTGAAGAATTGAAGTGTTCATAGGGCTGCTAATCGGGCAGGTCGTAATGCCCATCGCTTTCAGCTGCCGCTCTTCGTAACATCATTGGCGCGTCTCTCTGTGAATTGCATCTGCGACGGAGGTTGTCTACCGCGCTTATGCCAAAATTGCAACCGCTGCGACTACACCGGCAATGAGAGCGAAATGAGACGAGGGCAAGTTCGAGTTGAGCGATGCGGCTCCGGAAGATCCTGTAGCACGAGCATATCCAAGCTCACTGTAGACGCTAGTAGCTTGATCGTTGCTGACAGTAGCCGAGCAGGGTTGTGAATCGTGGGTGACGGACGCGGTGACGGCACAGACGCTGGTGGCCTCGGAGTTGTATGTCGTCGTGGAAACGTAGCTCATGCTGCCAATAGCGCTCGGGCAAGTGGTGAAAGTCGGCTCCTTACCGCTGGTCTCGACGGTGAAGTCAAAGCTACCGTTGGCGATGCGCGGATTCAGGTTGAATTCGCTGTAGTCGGGTTGCTCGGTGAACTCGCATTGGGCGCCCATGCCAAAGACCCAGGCGAATGTGTAGTCGCCTGCAGCGAGGTGACCGGTCTTGCCAACCTCGAGATGCGGGCCGTTGCCAAAGGTGCTGTCGTTTCCGATGGAAGCGCCCAAAATGCCGTGGGCGGCGGTACGCATGTACGAGTTCTTGTTCCTCGAGTAGATGTCCCAGACAAAGTTGTAGCCGTACTTGTATGCGACGTCGGGGTTCTGGACGTTGAGGAGGACGGGGTAGCCGTTGGTGGTCTCGGCATACTTGCCATCGCCACGAGGGAAGACAAGATCGAGTTCGATGGCGTCGGCGGGCAACTCGGCGCTGGCGAGCTGGGAGCACGAGGCCAGAAGAGTGGCACCAAGCCACAAGAGGCGTTGAGAGAACATGGTTGCTGGTAAACGAGTGTAGGTGGTTGTAAATGAGTGTAACGGCGAAAGTGTTCGCGATCGACGGACCAACAACTGTCAACTGAGGCTGTGCCAGACGATTTTGCCCCCAAAAAGAATGCTGATCTGGAGGAGACCGTGGAGAGCGGAGATTTTAAAAGAAATTGTGGACGCGCCCTGGAAGACTGAATGATTACAATGTCAACATTGTCACGGACTCAAGCAAAGAACTCTGACAAGCAGGAGTCCCGGTCAGGATCACTCTAATCTCCGATTATGATCCCGGCCCACTGCGTTATTTTGCTTTATCCCAAACGTCGCTAATCATCGTCTCTGCATTAGTCCCATGTCATTTCGGCCGGGTTTCGACAGTGAGCCAACCGAAATGCGCAAAGGCGAGTCCAAGGGGACCAGGTCACCCAATGGCTGCACGGAGCATCGTGTGCTCATTAACGGTTTGTGTGTCTCATTTAAGCTTCTTAACGGTAGCCCTATGGCTTCCAGGTTTTTTGCGAACGCTTCACACCCTTTGCAAGGTAAGGATAACGTGGTCTGTCTTTCATTGCTGTAGCCTATGGTATCCGCAGAGATTACATCCTCGGTATCCACCACTCGCCCCTTCATGCTTCGTCTTGAAGCTTCTTCTCCTTCTGGCCCCCAGCGCTGACCTCACAAACATAAGACTTGAACTTGCGGGCCGGCACGCGATTGCTAAACATTTCTTGAATCTCGGCGTAGTTACGACCCTTCATCTCGGGGAAGTAGAGATAAAGCCATGCGCACATGGGCAACGATAGGCCGAAGAAGATGAAGCAAATCTTACCGCCCAGGTTGGCCTGGTCTGTATTCAGCAGGTAGGGCATCACCTGCAATACTAAGCAGGACGCCGCGGTCGAGCACATGATATTGATGCTGTATGTTTTTTGTCGCAATTGCACACTGTTCGTCATTTCGTCAGCAAGGCATGCCCCTGTTCTTCTTGTTCACGAGTCAGGGTTGAAGGCCCACAAGCCTATGTTCCTGAGCAACACCACGTGCTAATACTACCAAGACCACTTGAACTGGAGTCTGGACTGATGGCTTGCAGCAATGCAGAATCCAGCCCAAAGTCTAAGAACTTAACTTGGGAATTAATCGTAAACATACCTGGCAGTTTCTCCTCCGACAGAATACGCAACCGCACCCAAAGTTGCTTGATACAAGTATCCCCAAATGACCATGAAAGCGACCGTTGCAGTGAGTGAGGCTTGGTTGCCGATGGTGCTGATACCGCCAATGAGAAGCAAAAGTGCTGTCATAGTGAACACGCCGCCCACTATCAACGGGCGTCTTCCATATCGATCCACAAGTGGCCAGGAAGTCATGTTGCCGACGAACTGAATTGCGTAGGCTGCCTGACCGATTGCAAGCGGATTGTTAATTCCAGCCAAGCGGAAATAGTATCTGCGAGCTGTCAGTGGCCGTCGACATGGAATTGTAGAGAAAAGCGGCTGCCTTACGTGAGGTAGCCCGAAACAAAGTTCACACCAATGGCTTGCTGAGAGAGATATACCATCACAATAATTGCTGTGCGCCTGCCGTTAACTCCCTTAAAACAGTCAACCCAGCGAGCTGACTCCTGTTCCTTTTTGGCCTCTTGTTCTTTGGCAATGGCAACAGTGGCGATCGCCAACGCGGCATCCACGTCGAAGCTGGGCCCGTTGAACCTTTTGTATGATTTGGCGGCTTCTTCACGACGACCCTTGATGAGAAGCCAGCTAGGGGACTCGGGCAAGAATACCAAACCGCAAAGGAGCAGTCCAGGAGGAATGAGTTGCGTAATCAAAGGGATTCGCCAAGAAAGGTCATTGTGATAGTGATCGCTTGCGAGTACTGTCGCCGAGTTGAGCCATTGGCCAACAGTGATCATTGTGTTGACAAGAACCAGGCAAACACCACGCATCTTGACTGGCGCGAGCTCGGCAACAAAGACAGGCCCCAAGGAGTGGCCTAGACCGAATCCAAAAGTTGCAACGACCTTACCGCCGAAAAGCATCATGATGGTTGAAGCAAAGTATTGAAGGATTGTGCCACCGCAGCAAATCAAGCAAGCGAGGCCAATGGTCTTCTTCCGGCCAAAGATATCGCTAATAAAGCCTGTAGCAAATGCCGAGACGAAGATTCCGATCGTGCCCGCAGCATTGAGGATCTGTTGGTCCCGAGCGGCAACTTGCCATTTTCCATTGATTTCGTGCCCGAAACGTTGAGCGAAAGGGGTTACGGCGAGGAGCTTTCCGATGGTCGAGACTTCGTAACCAAAATTAATGGGCAAAAGGTAGATCATCAAGCCTGATACCAGCACACACCGTATTAGCGAAACATTCTTTGCAGGGATCAGCAGGTATAGATGAACAGACAGAAGCCCAAAACGCGCTTGTTCTCCCACAGATCGCTGAAAGTAAGCTTCTCGTTGGCTTGAGTTGTTGGCAGCGCAGCTGTTGCGGCCAACTTCGCATCTTCAAACTGCTCGGCTCTCTGCTTGTTATCATGTTGGACCGTCGGCTCGTTCTTGGCGTCCATTGTGGTTGGCAGTACGGGGTTGCAAAGAACTGGGTTGACTTTGGAACGCGTGATGATGTCCCCCCTGCGATGTTGAGGTTGCTTCGAATCGTCCTCATCTCGGAGGGTGGTGGGACCTTCACGCGTCTTATACTCCAAGCATGCTGGATTGAAAAAGCACATAAAGGATGCAATGCAAGCTTCCCCATGGGCACTCGCCGAGGGCACTTGAGAACTCCCCAGTTCTCCGCACTTTCCACGTGGATGCAACATCTCTTGGTAGCCTTAAGATGCTAAAGACTGCCTCCTTTGGCAAGACCGAGGCGTGGAGGACATGACTCGGAAGACTTTTGTGACCGGGGGTGGGAAAGCACTTCCGGGGTAGCGCTGGAGACTGGAGTGCTTTTTGCGGAGGTCACACTGGAGACCGAGACTAAGAGTCTGAGAGATTGAGTAACCGCAGGTCTTTCGAGAGGCCCAAGTTGGCTACCTAGCCTGATCGGTGGGCCACTGAGCATTCCATGATTCGGCGCTCTTCACAATCATTGTCTTTAACGACCAACATCTACTACTTCCGACTTTAGATCATGTCGCTTCTTGCCTTGACTAAGTTAGTCAGCTGTTTTGAACGGGATGTTTGAATGCAAGATCCCAGAATAAGTAATGTTTGCCCTCCTGGTTTTATCCTTCCAGACAAAGAGGTAACCCTTTCTGGCAATAGCTTCCCTCCCGGGTTCCGGGTTCCGTCTCCGACCTCCACATCTACCCCGGACTCCTCCGCGTGTCTCGGACCCACGTCGATTAAATCAAAGGAACAGTTTAGCTGTAAAGCACACATCAGGCTTCGCAATGCCTACATGGATGCGAACAGTGTCTTCCGTCGACTATGTGCATTGAGATACTTGATTCAACCTCATTTGCTCAACCCAACATGGGGACGCAACCTCTAGCTTCTCAGTTTACACTGCTATCATCGGCTTCGTATAAATGCATCTAGTTGTATGATGGGTCTCTGCAAAAGAATGTGGCATGTTGTCATGGCATTGGAATTACTACGAGCTGCATGGTGAATCATGGTCGATTCTCATTGCATTCAACCCGTTGGCCAGAAGGCGACCCGTGTCTGGATACAAGGAAGACAGCCCAGGCCTCCACACGCTCCTATTGTGGTATATCATGACCTATCGCAGAAAACAACGCCCCCAGTTAGTGATATCTCGCTCAGCTTGGGGTTTTTCATCAAGGGAATCCAGAGGACAGAGTCCGCCAATCCTACTAACGACGCAATGATCATGATCTTCTGCGTTCCGCCAGTGGCATGTGACAGTGCCATTTGTGGGCTGAGCGCAACGATGGAAAGTCTCTCTCCCAGTCTCCAGGAGCCAGGCAAAGGGATGTGATCAACGCGGCCTGATTAAAAAAATAAAACCATATTGCATTGATCATGGCGTACATGGCATATATGACGGTACTTCTACTTCTGAGTGCTGTTACATGTAATGGCGGGCTCACCTACTTACCCGTCAAAGTAGATTTATATTCAATTCGGAGAATATGAGCGCACAATAGTCCTAGAAATTCAGTCCGAAAAAGCTTCGAGCTTCAAACCAAGTCTTCTGTTGACACAAACAGTTGATGCCATCGCTCGACCGACTTCCTGACAGTCCAAATATATCCCTGTATATTTGAGAATACTGTGTTGTCAGGATCTCCCTCGTGGACTCTCTTAGACTGAGCTGAGCCGCAAAAAGTATCTGGTGATAATGGAAGATTGCGGTCACATTCGTCATGAGTCTCTCCCGCACAGATGGCCTCGATTTGCAACGAAGTCTCTTTAGCTATTCTCTGAGCAAGTTCTTTGGCAATGGGGTGAGCGAGCCTGACTGTATGCACTGAAGGGACTTTCTCTTGGATGTCTCTCACGAATCTCAGAAGAGCAGACTGAAACTGATCAGAAGTCGGATCCTGGCTATGCCTGTTGGGGCAGATTGTGATTCTCTCTACCAGACTGGCTGATGCAGCCAGTTCCGACGCAACTATTTGGCCTGGTCCGGTGCCTTTATAGAAATTCAGATAGAGTTGCTTGATCCCCCTGAGAGAAGGGAGGTCTGACGATTTGAACTGCGCTTCAGTGAATGTGGAGTTGAGAGAGCCAAACATAGATTGGTTCCCACACCACCTGTTCCGTCCAAGCCAGAACCTGAAATGGTTTCGGCTGTGGAATAACTCGAGGACCTCGGCTTGAACTTGGAGACAGACTTCGAAAAGAGGAGATGTTGGATATGCTGCAGCCCATGGTAGACTGCCAACCGGCTCGCAAATATCTAGCTCACACCTCAAGGGCACAAGCTCGGATAACTCATAGATACGGTCACGTATCTCCCGTGGCAGTTGGAGAAAGGCACTTGGCACAGTACATTGCGTGTATGCGTCCATCTTTGTTGCTGGTCCTTTCGATCTTCGGGCTGTACTACTGACTGGCTTTGGCCTTTGAAAATGTTCAAATAAGCCGTTGCTGTCCTTCTTTTCCGTACTAACGAGTCGAAGAGTCGATTTAGGTCGAAACGTAGTGATTGGCGCAGGATTTCTACGTGGACCTC